TAATAATGTTTTATATTTTGAAGCATTGCCTTGTAATGGAATATATGAAACTGTGATGGTTGTAGACAACTTAGGAAATGATGTATTATGTGTGGATTCTTCCAATAGTATGGATAGAGCATGCTTGTGGCATTGTCGTCTTGGACATGTCAATAAGAAACGCATAGCCCAACTCCAAAAGGATGGAGTGTTGGAGTCATTCGACCTTAGGGACGATCACGTATTCGAGTCTTGTTTACTTGGAAAGATGACCAAGTCACCCTTCACTGGCACTTGTGCGAGGGGTGAGGGTTTATTGGATCTCATACATATAGATGTATGTGGAACCTTTAGATCCACCACAAGGGACGCAAATCGCTTCTATGTGACTTTCACAGATGATTATAGCAGATATGGGTATATCTACTTGATCAAGCACAAGTCAGAAACCTTTGATGAACAACTCGGTGAGTCCGTTGAAGATTTCCTTGAACTCGGCGAGTCGTTCGAAGCCTCGGCGAGTCGGCTAGGGTTTCTCCCAATTCTTGGACACGTATGAACTCGGCGAGTTAAAGGGGAACTCGACGAGCCAATCAAGGATTTGACGACTTCTCGAGTTCAGGAAGGACTCGACGAGTCGATGAACTGCACTCGACGAGTCGAGTCAACATGGAATGTTGACTTTGACTGTGGACTTTGACTTGGACCGAGGGTTGACCAGTTGACTTCTGAGGGTATTCTGGTAATTCGAAGATTTATGAAAAAGGGTTTTATGGTAACTATAGGTGGTGGAGTTTGTGTTGGTGATCCGGGAGTTGAGCTTTCTAGTTTCAGACGTCAATTGCAAGGTGAGTTATCCTCACTATATCAACAAGGTCTAAGGCACCAAGGCCGGCCCTTATGGATTTGTATTTGGATTATTACATAATATGTGCATCGTTTCGCATCCTGTTAGTTAGGATGGTGATATGCTTATGCTTAGTGATCGGGTTCGGTCGATATCCTAGTTATAGGATTATGCTATGATATGACCTGGGTAGGTCGGAGTCCTGGTTTAGGACGTTGCTATGCTATTTGATCTGTTAGATCGGTTTGTCTGTTATTATGATAGCCTATGAATGTATATGCACATGTTGTTTGATTTGGGTGTTGGGTTGAGGCGGTCCTGCTTTGTGCTGAAGGCCAACATACCCAGGGCGGTCCGGATAGACTACAAAACCCAAGAGGGTATGATAGTCAGACCGAAGGCCCGGTGAGCTGTCCGGATAGGCTGAAGGCCCCGCGAGGCGGTCCAGACGTGTCGAAGGCTCGGAGAGCAGTCCAGATAGACTGAAGGCCTGCGAGGCGGTCCATTCAGGCTGAAGGCTCATTATGCTTGCTGTTTGGTTATATGTTTATATGGCATGGTTATGTGGTTGGTATTTTGGGGGATAGCTCACTAAGCTTTCAGGCTTACAGTTTCAGTTGTTGTTTCAGGTACCTCTGGTGATCGCGGGAAGGCGAAGGAATGATCGTACCGCTCCTCTCGCTGTTATGACTTTTATGATTTGATACTGGGATACTCTGATAACTGTATTTTGAAAACAAACTATGTAATGACTTAATGGATTAAACTGTTTTTTTAAAAGTTTAAATTGGCTTGAATTTTTGGGTGTCACAGGCCAAGGGGTGGGTGTTAAAGAGCTTAAATAGGGTGCAAAACCCCGAAATTAGGGTTTCACTCTGGCTGATCTACTCGCCGAGTCGAGGGCTCTTGACTCGTCGAGTAGATAGCTTAAACCCCGCGTACATTCTGCCCTCTACTCGACGAGTTAGGGCCACCAACTCGTCGAGTTACCCTTTCAAAATAAGTAAATTAATGATTTAAATTCATACCAGGAACCAGGCGTGACATATTGATTATATTGAGATTTTCTCACCGGTTGTAAAGGTCACAATCAGAACAAATCTTGGGATTGTCGTAGAAGACGTACATCCAGAGCAGTTGAATGTGAAGACGACTTTCTTGCATGGAGCCCTTGATGAAAATATATAAATGACAAGTAGTATGTTTTTAGATTGATGAAAGGAAAACCTAATGTGCAAGTTGAAGAAAAATGTGTATGGGTTGTATAAAACTCCAAGATAATGGTACTTGAAGTTTGATGATTTCATACATGGAAATATGTACACAAGATATGAGAGTGATTATTATTGCTACCTAAAGAAGTTTGAATCCTTTTACTATATATTGATGACATGTTGGTGGATGGATCCAATATGTAGGAATCAATAAACTAAAGAAACGGTTGTCCATAGAGTTCGATATGAATGAATTGGGAGCTGCTAAGAAGATTCTTGGTATAAGCGTAGTCGAAGATAAGGTTGTGGGGACTCTAAAACGTTCTCAGCAATATTACATTCATAAAGTATTAGAGAAGTTCAACATGACAAATGCCTAAGTCCGGTAGTACGCCTTTGAGAAGTCATTTGAGACTCTCAAAGAAGCAATCCCTAAGATGAAAGAAAATAAAACAGAAATGTTAGCAGTTGGTAGTTTGATGTATGCAATGATATGCACTCGACCAAAGATTACTCACGTAGTGGAGTTATAAGCATGTTTATATCTAATATAGGGAAGGAGAATTGGGAAGGTTTCAAATGGTTGATACACTACTTGAAAGGAACTTTCAACACAAGCTTATGTTTAAAAGGGTAGAAAGGCATCCAAGAAGGCTCTGCTGAATAGACTTAAGGGCTTATGCAAATTCAAGGAATAACACAACACGTTATGAGTTCATAATTGGGGAAGGTGCCTCAACTAGATGTCCACGTTACAAAAGAGTGTCATTCTTTCAACCACCAAAGCAAGGTATATTACTATAACAGGAGCTAACAAAGAGCTAATTTGGTTGAAGAACATTTTGTTGAGATTTTATTCAAAATAGTCCTATTATAGTCTAAATTTTGACGTAATTAGCAACAGAAACATTTTTGTTTCAAATAAACTAAAACCATTTTATCCCACCAAGGATCATTTTTGCAAGAACTTAGAAAGATTAAACATAACCAAAGAAGAAAAAAGTATAACAACCTTTGAAGACTTTGGTTCTTTTTGACAATTAAGAAGTTGATGAAGATGGCTTTAAAACTCCAAGTAGAAGTTCTTTATAATGTATCCACCAATTAAGATTTGAACCACCAGTCTCTTTCAAAAAAAAAAAAAGATTTGAACCACCAAAATATGCTAGTAAACACCTGTATACAATTGTTTTTAAGCTTTAAGACTTATACCAAATACGTGATTAAAGAGAAGCAACTTTATGATTTTCATTTCTAACACCAAATGGAAGAAAGAAGAAGAGAGGGAGAGCATGCCAAATCCGAAAATTGGCTGCCATATTTTGGAGAAAGAAGTGAGTAGAACAAGTAGCCAAAACTCGTCTAAGGCCTTTCTTTTATACCAAGACTTCGTACAAAAGTAATACATATAATAATGAAATCAAAAGGCATGTCTAACACCATCATTTCATATAGGTCAAATGAGACAAAAATGAAATGCTCTTTACTTTATTCAACTAGTTAGTTACATATGTTAACTTGATGGTTACTCAAAGTGACCAAAAAATTGTGCATAACATTTAAATACATACCTTACGTATATTAAGCTAGTTTTGTTCTCTTTATTATTATTTCCTACAAACAATAATTCTCAATATGTTGGTAAAATATTATTTTTCACAAAAATAATGTTTTTCCAATTAAATACAAGTGTTGATATTTATTAATAATCTAAAAACAATAATGTTTTTCCACAAAAATCATATGTCATTAGTAATATCATTCTATAATGACTTTTGGGCATACAATATCTTTCACTTTCTATCGAAGTTAGGCATTAAACAATAAGACTTGGTCCTGTATTGTGATAACTAAAGTGCAATTTTTCTGGAAAAGAATATGTGTTTCACAACAAAACAAAACACATTCATTTGAGGTACCATTTTATTAGGGAGTTGATTATCCAAGATACACTGAATCTAAAGAAGATATGTGGTAGCGATGGGCTTTTAACCGAAAAACCGAATCGGATCGAGACTGAACTGGAACCAGAACCGCTTAGAATCAATTAGTGGTATTCGGTTCAGTTCCTGGTTCCCCCAATCCCTCATTTTCGATTTTCGGTTATTTCAATTTCTGTTCAGTTCGGATCAATTTCGGTACCGAATACCTTCTTAGATAGCACATTTCCTAGTAGAGCCGAACCGTAACTGGAACCAAACTGGAATCAGAATTGGTTAGTGGATTCAGTCCAATTCTCGATTTCCCGTCCACTCCTTAACCAGTTTTAGGTTCTTCCGGTTTTGGTCCGGTTCGGGCCGTTTCCAGACCGATTTACATCCCTAATATGTGATACGAAAAGAATCCAACAAACATGTTTACTAAGACAGTGACAACATATGTATAGCTTCAACTGGTCTATTGAAGACTTGAGGTGAATGTGCAAAGTAGAAAAAGATGTTGTCTATATAACTTGGATGACAACAAATTGAATGATGAGCCTCCAAACGAGAGATTGTTGAGTTGTGGAGACTGATATATCATTTCACCATTGAACTATGTTCAGCTGATAGCGAAGCATGAGCGTAAAGTTACAATAGCAAGACCTCGACAGAGAGCAAAGCAACTTGGTGAAGCTGCTAAATGGGTGAAGCTTCGGAGTGAGGTTATTGTCGAGGACTAAAGACTGAATCGTTAGAGAATGTTAGAAGCGAAGGCTGGTCAATCTAACCAAGTAAACCATATTAAATCTTTGTGTTCTTATTGTTATTCACATCTTTATTATCGTGTTTTGTGTTTTGTCGAAGTCCTCAATCCCAACGTACACTCCATGCATGACATCAAGTAGCGACTTTTGATATGTAACTCTATAGATGATGATCATGATCATGAGATCCTATCTTGGGTATCCCATTGTATATTTTATCACGGTTGTTATTATACTATTATTAGTGTTTATCCTTGATTTTTGTATTAGTTTAAACATAAACAAGTCGCCATGAACAAGACCCATTCTTTTTGAATACCAGATACAACATTACATGATCATTAAATAACAATATTACTAAGATTTTTCCGAAATGAGATAATATTATACAAAAAAAAAAAGACGGACTACCATAGTACCACAAAGTAAGCTTACTGTACAACAGACTAAAGCTCACTTGAGTGAAGGCACTCGTCAACAAGGTGTCGAAGGTTAGGGTTCTCCATGGCAGCCACAATCCTTTCCTTGTCATTCAACTGTTTGTTAACTGTAAAAAGTAAAAACCAAAATAAACTTTGATATTAATTACCACGACACCACGTGTCATTAATTAATTATAATTAATCTTTTTTACCTGCGGCTTCATCTGCATGTGATCCAGGAGCTACTTTGATGTCTACCTGTACGTAATGTTTAATAAATTTGTCATGAATAACAATAAATGTAATAATCATAATAATATCATATACTTGTATTACAAAATTATGAAATTAATAATTTTGTGTTGTGAGTTCTGACCTTAAAATGTGGAGGGAAACAATCCTTGAGTTTAACCCTCAAGCATAAACCAATTACCGTTGCCATACTGCAGTGCTGAATGGTTGGGGTGAAACTTATCCTAAAATACAACAATCAAATTATTTAGCATTTGATTTTCTTTTTGTCTTAATTCATTAAGTCGTTTTGTCCCGATTAAATAAAAAAAAAAACAAAAACAAAAATATGTAACTGTCCTTTTAAGATTAAATGCTTGAAAGATTTATAACCAAAAATATATTTGATTGTCACTCGATTAAAAATCTACCATATTTTGAAATGAAAAGAGGCCATTAAATCATTAATAGTAAGATCTTGGTGAAACAAAGTAATGTTAGTTTCTTTTTAGTTGAATCGATACAAAATATTATTAAAATTCACAGGGATCACGAGAGTCCAATAATGGAATCTGCTCACTTTTCACGAAGTAACTTTTCAGTTCAGTTCTGAATTAACAAAAACGATTTTAGTTACATAAAAATGTTGATCTATTTGGACAAAGAAAAATATGCAACTAAACTATCAAAAATCGATGTTCATGTAGAAAATACCAGTTGTGAAATTTGAAAAATCATAAGCAGAAGCAGCGGAAAGAGATAATAAACTCACAGTATTCGGCCGAGCTTCTCGTCGACGGTGATAGACTCCTCCGATAGAACACTCAGCTGTTCCAACGAATAAGGATGCTCCGGATCTCTTATGTCCCTCACAAAATTTATCGATCTAAAGTCAAAGATCACAACAAAATCATCTCAATTTCTAATCCTCAGTTCAATTACCTTACAAGCTACAAGCAAATTAGTAAAACTGTAAAACTAAAAACAGAAATTGAAAATTAGAAAGCGTATACCAAATTAAGAGCTAATAATCAAGCAAACGAATTGGAAAATGGAAAGGATATCATAAATATCAAGAGGATCAACGGCTTCATGATCGTCGCAGTGAAGATGAGCATCTGTTCGAGTGATTCTTTCTTTCTTTTCACGTACAATCGGATTTGCGTTTATCAATCCTAGAGTCATTGTTGCCTAATTTTTACCCCGAATTTAGCTAATCAGGATCAGGGGAGTGGTTGTTGATTCTTTATTATTTTGTCTCATAAGAAGACTGATGGTTTGATTTTAGTTTCCAATTTTGCCCCTCCACATACTGGGTACTTGTGCCCACAGATTATATAATTCCAACTGTAAACTATTTGCTGAAAGTAAAAATAGTGTAAACTATTTGCCCCTCCAAAGCTGGTCGGAGTTTTCATTGTCTGGTTTCACAATATAATTACTTTTAACATATGTTTGTGAATGTTTTATTTACAGTATTGTATTCTACACAACTTACAATTTAAACATAAAATTATGTATGTTTTGATACTATTGAGAAAGAAAACAACACGTTTTCACACATCCATTAAGTTGTTTTGGTAATTTTATAGATTTAAGTTGATAACCCAATTACCCATCAAAACTTTTCGTAATTTTGGGACAATATACTTCTCAAATAATTTTGATTGTCTAGACAAATATATGTCAAATTAATCAACCATCAAATATGCCATGAGTTAAAAATACATATGCCTATTCAAATTCTTAGTAAAACTTGATCAACTATGACGACTCAAGAGATTCCTCAATTAACTTTTGGGTGAGAGATTTAGAGAGTCCCATAACACTATCAGAAGTTCCAATCTACATTAAACAAAATTAATTGACAAAAGTTGAGTATTTTATAATCCTGTATATATATATATATATATATATATATATATATATATATATATATATATATATATATATATATTTGTCGATGGAGATTAATAATGAGAGACTAACCACAGTGTCAACAAAAGGAGCAGTTAGTGGATGTTCAAGCATCAGTCCTCCAGCAACATTAAGTGTTACCCCTTCATCTACCTACAATATTAGCTATAATTAAAACCATAAAAAATATATAGTAAATTACATTTTTGGTCCCTGGTTATAGTTGATTTTTGCAGTTTCAAACCACAAAAAAGATTCTTGCAATTTTGAATTTTGGGTACACGGGTATAGTTGATTTTTGTAACTTTGGTCCCAAAAATATACTCATTCTACTTGAGGCATGGACCAAAAACGTTACAAAAACCTCAAATAAGGACCTAAATTTGAAGAAAAACCTTCTGTGCTCAAAATTGGAAAAAAAACAGATATATTCAGGGACCAAAAATGTAATTTACTCTAAAAATATATGCTCCTTTTGGTGAATACAAAGAATATTACCATTACAATGTTTTCATTTTAGGCAAGTTTTTTCTTATATAAAATTACTTATTTATCTATTGTAACAAGAATTAAGAATATGCGTCCTATGAGTAAGTATTGTTTTCATTCACATTACCAGCTTATCAATGGCCTCATCTGGTATATCATGAAAATAGACCTGCACCACAACAACAAGAAAATCATCCAAATTTAATAAAAAAATGGTTTAATGTTATATAAATTCAACACTTTCAGTGGATGTTCATAAACCTCAAATAGTGCCCGATGGTCATTAGACTGTAGAAATTGACATCGACAGTCCAAAACAGAACAGAACAGGTTGTACTGTATTTAGCATGCACTGGAACTGGACTTGGACTGAGACTTATGTCAAAAAGTAAAGATAATGATAATACCTCCGACCTATCCCATCCTCGTTTCTTGATCCCTGTGGTAAGGTTAGTTACTACTACAGATCCCACAACAATTGCACAACCGCCTGAGTAACCTGAGAAATATCACAAGATAATAGGTGAACATCTAGGCCCCACCCAGATCCAGACAGGTTGTCTGTGTTTGACATGCATTGAACTAAGAACAGGATTGATGTCAACCACACAAAATTTGTTATCTTTTGTTCCACCCAAAAAGGTGGTCCAAGGGAGGACAGAGACTCGGTCCTGATGACCTGATCTCTTGTGTAAAGACGTAAATACCCTCCATATCAATTAGTTTGAACTTTGAAACACGTTTTCCTAAGTAAATGTAAAACCTTTGACAAAATGGCGTGCTTCTTCCTTGCTCGATGGTTTTTCACGGATCGTTCCTTCATACACCACCACCTGAAAAATTAAATCAAATGTAGGTAAGTAATAGTAATTAAATATCACCGACTTATATGTGTGTGTATTTTATCAACATATATAAGCTTTTATTTGCAATAATGAAATTAAAATTGGGAACAAGGCAATGCATATATACTGTGTCTGCTGTAATTAGCAGTGTGGGGCGTGCGTTTTCCTCCTTATGTCCTGCAATTCCAAGCCTTGAAATGAGTGCATCAGCCTGATAAAATTCAAATTCGATTAAAATAAAAAATTTATATTGAAAAATGAACAAATTTCATTCCTGCAAAATTGAACACCTTTTTTCCCAAAATAAACACACAAGATTCAAGAATGTACCTTTGCCTCAGCTAGAGCCACTACTAGATCCTCTGGTTTTTCCTTCCTAATGCTCTTTTCATCAATATCTGCAGTCTAAAGTTACATGAATGAATTTTCTATATTTTCAAATTGATCATTTCCAAATAGGCAATAGTTAGAAAAAGAATGGATTTTGAATCTTTTAAAGTACGAATCGATTAAGATTAAACTTTATAGGTAAGTTACAAATCAAATAATATTGAAAATTGAAAGACAACAGATCATAATGTCGCATAAGAATTAGGGATTATTTCATAACTCACCATGATTGTAAAATCATATCCCATCTCTGCTAAGATTTTCCGACGAGCCATTGAAGAAGAACCCAGTATTATCTTCGCATTTTTCATCTTAACAACAAAATCATCACGAAAAAGCAACGAGAAATTCAATATCCGGATTTATAAGCGATGTGAGCAAAACATAGGGATTGCTTGTTAATTAGTTTGTAGGTAAGAGTTCAGGAGAAGATAGTACTACGAACCTTGACTCTAGGGTTCGCCATTGATGTCTGTCGCTCCTGCAATCCTTTATCTCCCTCACAATCGAAGAGAAAGATAAAATGTGAAGAGTGGACCCAACTGGCGGCAAAACTTGCGTCTTTTTAGATTGCTCGGCAATGGTCCCTCTATTATATTCTATCTTACAACTTTTGTCCTCTATAATCCGGGTTGTATAATTTTGATTCAGGTTAATGTGATCCAGTAATAGTCATTTTATTTATAAAATTAGGGGTGAACAAAAACAAATAAGGAATCCGAAAAACCTAAACCCACATAAAAAAAATCGAAAAACCTAAACCCACATAAAACTAATGGTAAAGTTTTAAATTTTAAAAAAAAAATGCAAATTTTGGAACCGAACCATGAACAACCCTAAATTTGAGATTATAAAATCAAATCCCTTGCAAAGCAACATATACTCAAAGATTTCAAAATTCTAATATCATAAAGAAGTTTATATACTAGGATCAAAGTCTACCAAATACTAACATATAACACAAGCATATTAAATACATTTAAATGAGAATCTCTACTGGAAATAAAAGGAAAGTCAACTAAAAATCGGGTTTGGACATGAAAAACCAAATCATTTTAACTGTAAAATCACACAAAATGGAACCGAAACTGCATGTAAAACCGCACTAAAACAAAACCGCACATATCAGTTTTTACCGTATAAAACCTGCACCTTGCAGTTTGTAGTTCGGTTTGGTCAAAAAACTGCATCAAACCATGTTATAATCACCCGTATATAAAATCATATATCTTCTACTTATATTAACCAGGTGTATATGTGTGTGTGTGATGTTCGAATTCCTTCAATATATTGCAAATATATAGTCAAAGTTACGTAGCTTACCAGAAGGAAACGATTCTTTAAATTTTCAACTTCTAAAACTAAACGAAATTATATCCCTTTTTAATATCCTACTCAAATAATGTTCTGTAGACAATTAGCTATTTATCTTTGGAATTCATTTATGTTTTTTTAAGTTCTGAAGCAATTTATGCTTAACATTCCATGATCATAAGTTATATATTTATAAAGTACAAAATCAACTTTATGTAATCTAGGTTATAAACACAGAAGGTATATTTTTTCTTTTAAACAACTTTGTAAACTATTTATAGTTTAAAAGGTAAGCCATGGATTTTTTTTTTAATTAGACACCGGGTATCCAGAACAGGAACCGGTTCCGACGGTTCCAAGAGCAGTTCCAAATCATTAGGAACAGATGCAGTCCGGATCTGATTTTGGTTCCAACATATTAGGAACTGTCGGTTCCGGTTCCAGTTTCAAAAAATTCGCTCAGGTACCCATTTATGCGCACCCCTAAGAGAAACCTTGGCCGGGACAAGGGTGGTGAATTGGTGATAGGGAATTATGGGTTCGGGTCTATTTCGATTTGAAATAGAATAACCGGTTTTCATGCCCACTTAACAACTTACAAGTTGATTGACCAACCCAGGCCCATTATGGTGTGTTTGTTGAATTGTGATTCCTCAAGACATTTTAAATTTATTTATTTATTATCATAACTACTAACTATTCCCTCACTACATAATTTTCACTTTTTCAGCAATAATAATCTAGATACACAATTGATTCGTCAAACTTTTTTCATCTGCCTATGACTTTACTCTAGGAATGAATTGTATTTTCTAAAAAAATCAATAATAATCAATAGACAATATGAATTAGATCTATAAGTCGCTATATGTTAATCGTAATGGTCTTAACACTATAGATCAAATTGGTAATAACATCATTAATTTCAAAATTTTAGTTTTTAAAATGAAAATCAAATTGGCAATGACCACTATATATTAATCGTAATGTTCTTAACACTATAGATCTAACAGTTATAGTGTTTATAATGGTATTCATGTAAATTTACATATAATATTTCCATATTAATATAACTTTTGAGCCACATGTTAAATGGCGGATATGATTTAAGAAGGGTATGTATATGATAATAAAGAAAAAAGAAAAAAATATATATAAGATCCCCATAGAGGAGACAATAAGAAGTAGCTGTCTTGGTTCAAAATCTTTAACTTTTCCCAAAGTACACAAGACTCTTGTTTAGGGGCTTCTCCCATAAAACCCCAATTACACTTTTCCATCTCTCTCTTGTCTTCTTCATCAAACCACCTTTTCCTTTAAACTCATTTGCTACCTTCTTTTAACATCACCTTGGACCCCATCCCCCCTCTCTCTCTCTCACACACACACACATTAGGCTTAGTAATCTTGGAGAGAGAAACAAGAAAAAAACAAGGATTCATTGATTCATGTTGTAGTTTCATCTTTTGAGGATTATGTTTTTTAGTACTTCAAAACTCTTATCTATTCGAGGAAGCTTCTCTCAACATTCTTATTCAAAAGATCTCCGATCATTATCATTGAATACAACAAATACGTGAGCTGGATAGAGTTGAATAGTAAAAAAAAGAGCGAATTAAATCAACAAGATTTCCATCTTAATCAAATAATGAATACAAAAACTTTGATCAAGGTAAATAGTATCACAATAAAGAGTACAGTTTTTCTTACACTACAAACATTACAATATATATATCTTTAATTTAAAACGACATCTAGTTCGTCCCTGATATTAAGTATTAACTCGATCCCCTTTTGTTTCTTTAACTCAACCAATGTCAAGATTTATGTCAAACATTCTTTTTGTAATTCGGTCAATCAAACACAGAGTCCTAGAAACGAAAGTAAAATAAAATGATGAAGTATCGTTGGTAAAGAGTTGGATATTGTAGGTCCCTCATTGCGGCTGGGAACAGATTACGAAAAATTGCATGCGCTAATCATCATATACGTGCATTCATAACCCCAAAACAATATTCATCGATATTAATCAACGTGAGATCTTCTTATCGTTGATTCAAGTTTACATGCATGCATGCAAACTACTTTCCAACTTGGACCATAATTTTTGAAAATTATTACATTTTAAAAGAATGATTAGTTAACACATCAAGTTAGCGTTATTAACATAAAAACATTAAAGTTTATTAAATAAATATTTTCTCTGTCTCATATTAATAGTCCATGTTTTTTTTTGTTCTAAAATTATAGTCTACTTCTAAAAATAAATATTTATTTTACCAAAATACATTTCATTATTAACTAAACTACCATGAAATTAAATACAACAAAATGGTACAACTGTCATTTCATTTAATAAATTTAGTGGTAATTAATGTTTCCTTAATTTGTATTTTTTTGTCAGTGGACAATAATTTTGGGACGGAGAGAGTATGGTTTTATCTTAAAATTACTCTTAGGTAGGCCTAACAATCGTGTCGTGTTTGGGTTGGCGGGTCGCGGGTTGGCGGGTCAAAATACACCAACCCGAACACGACCCATTAACTATACATGTCACGGGTTGGCGGGTTTGTACCAAAACCACATAATTTTGACAAAACATAGGGAGCATTTTTGCAATTTTGTCTTATTAAAGCTTATGATAGGCTTTGTATAAATTTTTTATGGGGTTTTATAAGTGTAATTTTGCACTACAAACCATGTATAAAAATATTTTACCAACTACATGTAGGTCTCTATAATGAAATATAATATAGAAAACTATAATGAAAGATTGAAAGTGTTTATTAAAAAATTCAATAAACCTCTTTCCATAATCCATAAAAAAATCCATGCAAGTATACATAATGTAAGTGTTAGTGAAGTTATAAAGTCTACTAGAGGTCTAATAAAGAAAATACATTCAAAATACATAGATGTTGGGGGTGAATTACGAAATCAAAAATAATATGAATCAAAAGTAATATGAATTAAAAGCTAAAAAAATAATAAAAAAAATTGTGTTTTTTAATCAAAATGAAATTAATTTTGATGGTTCTATATCTAATATTATATATATATATATATATATATATATATATATATATATATATATATATATATATATATATATATATACACACACTACATTTTAAAAGAAACATTTTTTTCTTTCATTATATGCATGTGAAACCCTCAAACTCTTCATATTTTATTCTAATATATATTTTACTAGGCGAACATCCGTGCGTTGCGTAGAAAATTATCATATAATTTATATATGTTATTAAAAATCGCTATGTCAGTACATATTTAAATTAACTTATCTCAAAAGCATTTATTATTGGATAGTATAAAATTTCATTAACTTTTGATGTATCCATTATTAACTATTATGATGATTAATCAATTATATCTTTTAGAATTGTATTATCCTAATGATATATATCCACACATACATTTGTTCTCTAACAATAGCATATAAAATACATCAATAAATACTTTCTTCCGTTTACCTACATAAATAAAAATTTACAATTATATATAAAATCAGTTAACTTTTAAAAAATATTTAATTACACTTTTATATAGAGACAAATGTGAGAAATGATGTCATTTTTATCTAAAGAATATCACACCATCTAATATACTTTATGTCATTTAGGCATGATCCTCATGCGGGTAAGTTGGATTTTGGGTTATCAGTTTGATGTTTGTCACTTAATCGAACTATATTACTTCAGTTTATCCGTTTTTTTGTTATTCATGTCCAGTTTGAACAAATTTGGTTTCGTCACTCAAATAACACACCAAATCCAAATTGTTGCATTCGTCTTCTCTTACTCACGTAATCTCGTCATCTTGTTTAATATCATCTTTGTTATTATATTTTGGAAGCCATTAACTTGATCAAGCCTTGCAGTCGTGTACATCGAGTCATGTGAATATATCATATTTTAATACAGAGATATACTATTTAGAGTAAATTGTATGTAAATACTTATTTGAGTAAAAATATTAAACCACCAAAGTCATGTGTTTTGATAAATTAATTAATATAATACTATAATTTTTTTTTAATTAAAAGACATTATATAAACAATCATCGCATTTTAAACTTAAAACGTATTTATTCATGTGAAAAAAAATGTTATAAGCACACAGGCTTAATAAAAAATACTATAAGAATGAACAATCTTATCATTCTACTTGACTGGAAGAATTAATAATTATAATCTTAATTGTTATCTAAAAATAAAAAA